GACCATTTGGAGTTGGAGAACTCTTGAGAGGACCGCGTAATGACATGCTGCGACAATCATTCCGGTACACCCGCTTTCAAGGAGGACTGATGCTGCAAGAGTGACTCGTCTGGACACCTCATGCATGTGCTGAAATGAGATGTCCCCTGTTCAGGATAACTCCCGTTGCAGTAGTGTCAAGCTGCAACAGCTGCAAGCACAGAACTCCTGCGCAATCGGCAGTGTTTGGGAACTGTTAAAGGCCGGGCTGGCGAGCTCAGATTCAGATAAAACAGCTACTGCTCTTCAGGACACCAGATTTGAAGTTGCCAAGCACATGACCCGACGACAGCAGCTGCCCAACTGCTAAGAAGCACCAAGCTCAGATTTAGCTGTACCTGAAATTTACAGGCTAAACCGTGGACCCTAATTGAAACGTCTTGCCTTAAGTTCTCTAAGTTCAAGACCACAAACTGGCAAACGTGCCTTTGCCCTTGGTGTACTCTAGGCCACATGCTTCGGCGCATGTGAGCGCACTCTACCTTCCCCAGTCTCCAAACCCCGAACTAGCATCGAATGGCACGTGCCACCTACATTCCACTAAACTGTGTCAAAACCCTGAGCCCTAATCTTTTGTTTGAGGCGTAGGGCTCGGCCAACCCTAACCCCTAAACCCAAAACCCTCAGCTTGTAGCTTAGCCCAAGGCTGAGGGGTCCAGCATTTGCCTGAGGCCACGGGCGGATTTGGCACGGAGCGGGAACCAGGCGGGAGGATGTAGGGGGATGTCTAAGATTACTTGAAGGGGAGTCATAGGGGCTATACAGGGGTGTATGGGCTTATAAAGGGTGTAGAGTTTCTCAAAATTAGGGGTACCTTGAAAAGGTCTATAGGGGTACCTTCAAGGTGGTTCTAGGGCTAAATCTGAGATCTATATTGGGGTCCCCCTTACTTTGGAAAACTACCATGTGAGAGTGTCCAAAATGAGGGGTCTTCAACATAGGAAGCTCCCGACAAAGGACTCTGATTTGATTTACGTAAACCACGCATGAATATCTATATGGGTCAAGATGCCTATGAAGTTCGCGTCGCAAATTGAATTTCGCTGATCTGGGGCGTCTCGAATTTATTCATGCCCGACATTCCGCGGAGAAAACCGCGACTACTTGGTTCGCGATTCATTCTTCACCCCCTATCCTATCGCACTATGAGAAATGAGCCTAGCATCATGGAAGTTTATTTCAAGTTTGGGCTCTAGTGCTACAGCCGCAAGAAGTCCGAGATCTACCACATGGACTTGCAAATGAACCCACGTGGCTCCCGGCAAACTCTTAAGAGATAGGATCCCAGGAGCCTCGCCCCAGGCAGCAAAAACCTTCTCGAACCTGTAGAAATGACTATTGGGATTAAGAATGGAACCTGTAGATTCTTCTCCACGTTGGGCCACTGATGTCAACCCTGAGTCTGGGGAATCGCAAACCATTTGACTCAGGCAGAACTTTAGCCTAGCATCCCTCCGACTCCTGAACTGCTAGACCATCACAACCACATGAAAGTTACTTTAAACAAAGGTGTCGGAAAGCTCATAGCCCTAAACCCCCAACAGCGTGCCTTCAGCCAACCAACTGCTCGCTCTTCGCCTTCGGGGTGAAAGCCACGATGTCTGGCCTTCCAAGCAGCCATGAGTCCATATTGTTCACGTGAGCAGCTAGCACACAAGGACTAGAATGCACGGAATGGTACCCATACCTTCCCCAAAATGCTGCAGTTTGGATTATTAGGAAGACCAGCCCAAAGCGAACCCCCAACGCTGGGAAAGCCTTACATAAGCGTACCCCACTATATAGCCTACTGAAGCACCGCGTTGCCTTCTTGAGAGCCTTGTAGAGGGCAAGCACATCCTCATTGTCCAAGGCTTCAGTGACCTTGACAGGCAGGCCGCTTGGGGGGGCATATTGCCATCTATGGGGCTTCCAAAAAACCTAAGCCCAACCTTTTGGAAGTCTTCACAACAAAGGCTATAATATGTTAGAGCCTATATTTGGAAACCACAATGTATGGCACTCCCTGGAACTTTGGCATTCAGAACCTGCCTTTGGCCTTTACCTGTACCACAAGTTTCCATCTCGCCCTTGTTTCTTCCACGTTGCACTTCACAACCTTCACACGAAGCCATGACAGTCTTTGTTTCACTCCATCAAATAGGTGTAGGGTTTAGGGTTTAAGGTTTGAACCAACAGCTGGCAGTCTTGACTGGCTGGAATCACCACAAAAACCCTACGGCAAACTAGGCCTCGCCTCATCGCAGACCGCCGCAGTAGCAGTGCAGAGCTGAGCCAGGGGAAACTTGCGAAGGGCTGGGGAAACATGTCCTTATCAACCCAAAGCCCAAAACCTTGGGTACTGCAGCCCTCAGTAACAGTTGGATAATAAGTATACTATGGTTATATATAGCCCTTAATAGGACCCTTAATGTAGACGGTTACTAGGGGGGCAGTACCCAACCTAAACCCTTAAGAGCCCAAGATCGACCTACCTCGGCCTCAAAAGTAGGTAAAGCAATGGCCCAAAACCCATCAGGGGAGCAAATCGGCGAGTAGTCTCCATACTTTCAAGCTACCACAAGGCTTTCCTCAAGCCATCCGTAGAGCTCCAGGCATTCCTCCCTAAACCCTAAGGCCTAAACCGGGTCTGATATCTCACAACAGTGTATCAGCTAGCCGAAGTTTTGGGTTCCTTATTGTTCCCCGTTTCTGGTCTGGGACATTTTTTGGCATTCTAATCATAAACTTTCAAAGCAACATGCCCAATTTGTTGTATGGCTTTCTCCAAAGTCCTAATGCTTTTCGGTAGGGAAGGGCAGAGTTTATCCGATGGCAGACCCCATGCACAAATACTGTAGCTGCACTTCTCTGCCAGCCCCTAAACGAAGACACCCTCAACACAAATTCCCATGTCTTCTCCATGTCATCATTCCCTGGCAGCCACTAAATCGTCCGAGCAACCCTCCCCAGCCCTAAACCCTAAACCCTGCCTTTCCCGGAAGCTTGGTGGTGCCCATGGAGGCGGATGTCGAAGAGCTGCAGAGCAGGGTCAGGGTTTAGGGTGTGTCAGGCGAGGGCACGCGCTCGCGCGTCAAGCAGCCAGGCCGCGCGCTCGCGTTGCTTGTAAAACCACACCCGGGCACCCAAACTGTTCTCCATCAGGGCTTTTCTGAAGGCAAGCACCACCATCACCCATGATGCTTGATCATCTCGGGTATCCGCTCTGACAGGGGGTAGCCTTCTGCATGCAATGCTCTGGACGGGCCCTGGGCCCATCAGTGTTGCCTCTGCCCGGATCTGGGTCTCTGCATCCCATGGCCTGCGAAGCAGTGTTAGCCAACGCCTCTGGCTTGTATCCTGTGACTGCGCGGCAGTTGTGGCGGTGGAGCTTCAGACCAGCAGGTGAACACAGGCAAGCACGCGTTTTTTGTGTCCAAGCCAGTGCTGAGGAAAGTGTACTCGTTGAAAGAGGCCCATTACCATGACCTTCCCGTTTTCAGTTTGATCCCACCCTGTCAAGGTTGCACGCACAGCCCTGCTGGCCTTAAAACTCAAAACTTTGGCAGCAGCAGTTCTACTAAGAGTGATAGCCGCGTGTAGGGGAGTGTGCGCCAACAATCAGCAGACCGGTTGCTGCATCATCAACATTGAAATATTGTACCATGTGCCAGAACCGAAAAACACTAGGATCCTGATTTGAGGAACTTCTGAAAGAGGGTCCTTGAATTCGGCTTGGCAGGCGCCTCAATCAATACAGCATGCACATATGTATATGAATATGGTAGCCTCCATAAATACCTCGGGGATATAAATCCAAAAATACCACAGCCCTTATATGGGGACGCCCAAGCTGGTAGCCCTAATTTTGGAAAATCCCCATTCAGAACAGTGATCAGGGCTCTGTAAAATTTCTTTTGGGCTGTTGTCAGGCGCTCGCGTTCTGGCCAGCTCCTTCTGAAAGGCACCGTTGGCTGTTAAGCTCCAGCCACAGTCTAGGTCTCCGGGCTTAGGGTCTACCTGGACCCCCAAACATGTAGAATAATGGTATTTGATTTAATGGTTTTGGGACACTAGTTCAATGACTTTTGAAGCCCTCACCCACCAAAGCCCGAACCCCTGAGTCACACGACCCATACATGGCCAGGTCCCAAACCCAAAAGCCCTTAAGTCACGCAGCTGGTAAACTCCAAGCCTCAAATTTGCAAAACGGAGGGCCGTGAGAGTGCGCTCTTTTCGAACTGTCCAGCACATGAGCTATAGTCTAAACTCCTTAAAGGGGGTTATATAGGGATTATATAGGGGATTACTATAGGGGTTATAAGGGGGATACTAGGAGTTTCGACAATGGCTCGCATGGAGTTGTTCTTCAGTGTTCCTGAATTACGGCTCGAGATCCTCGCTCCTGCTTGAAGGCCATCATCGTGCTGTTTAGGAGGCCGTGTTGGCAATCAGATGGCAAGTCGTACCTCAGCTGTCCAGGGGTTCTAGTCCCTTTTAAGTAGATAGAATTTGGGGTATATGGGGATCTCATTATATTATAAGCCATATTCTATCTACTAAAGGGGAACTATAGCAGTTGAGTACCCAGATCCAAAAGGGTTTGAGGTTTGGCTTGTAGCTGTTGGTGCTCGAACGGTCAGAGGTGTCTCTAGCGGGGACAACCGTGATGTCGTTTGTTGTTAGTGCTGGCTGCTTTAGCACTTGGAAGGCTATTGTTTCTACTGGCGACGGTCCAAGCACAGAAAACTCTAATGAAAGAGTTTAGCCAAATACTCCAGCGCCACAAAATCAACCAGCAATAGCCAGCAAAGTGCTTTCAAGTATGTGCCCTCCCCCTGCACCAGCAAGCTAGCCATCGCAGAAGGATGCTCTGCAGGTGGGTCATCTGTCGTCCAGGTCAGCACACTGTCCATTGCTGCCTTATCCTGGTCATCCGTGGGATGCAGGCCCAGTGAATCGTTAAAAGATACATCTGAGCCTCATATTGGCAACATCAAACGCGCCCAGTCTTCCTCCATGCTTTCAACCTTACCAACGAAGTCGTATGGCACCGCACACCCACCAACAGGAGTGAAGAACTCCATCTGACTTCCTTGGCTGAAAACTCACACGTGTAGGAAATGCCAGGAAATTACTACCGACCCCCCCCCAAAAAAAAAGCGACCGTGTGCAGCTGCTAAGGCTCTTAGATGCCCATCCTGGCGGATCCCGTCTTTGAGATACTGGCGGAAGAACTCTGCAGCCCTCCCCGAACTTCCAGCAGGATATGCGCTGAGAGATTGATTGAGCACCTTGTACTCGTGGTGGCCCAGACGGACCCTTTTTTCAATTTCCTAGGTTCTCAGGTGCAGACATGGGCTACAAGCCCCTAAGCCCGAAACCCTAAAGCCCCAAACCTTATCCCAAAACACCCAACTTGAGCCTAGAGGCAGATCTCAGTCCTATATAGGGGCTATATAGAGGTTATTTAGGGGATATATAGAGGTTATATAGGGGATATGACCCCAATAATAATGGAGGATCAAATGGAAAAGAAAATGGAAATTTGGATTATAGGGTAGTTTATGGATATTCCAAAGTCGTTCTGTTCAACTCCTGCTTCCTCGGTGATTCCATTCCAATCCCTGGGTGTTCTAAGGGGCCACTTCATGTTTTGAAAGCTTGGGGTAAAGCGATTCTATTTCGGCTCTAAGCTTCAGCATATGCAGAAATGAATCTGGAGATCGGCTGCCGGACGAACGTGAAAGTCTTCTTCTTCGACGTGGGGACGTAAACGAACCTGAGTTGGTAGTTCTGGGGCTTGGGTTTAGAATCCCCTTTTGCACCAAGTCTATCGCAGTGGATGGGAACTGAATCCGCGCATGAAAGACAGAGCGACTTGTGTGAAATGCCCCAAATCCATCTGGTTCAAGGCCTGGGGATGAATGGGACAATTCCTACCTGTCACCCCCAGCACCCAACGTTTTATGGGTCATACCTATAAACCATATTACAGGATGCTACTGGGCTGTAGACAAATGGGGTTACAGGTACGGGTCGGTCTTGATTCTTTGGACTTGGCTGAAGGCCCGCAGAACTAGAATGAGGCGGAGAACGCCCCGAGATAATAGCCTAAACCCTGAACCCTAAACACCCAAACACCCAATGTTTCCCCAAACTGTAACCCTGCACCTCGTCATGCAGTGGCGCACACGGGTTGGGTGAGGGGTGACTTTCAGCATTTGCAAGGATCTGCCCTGCTGTAGGCTTTGATAACGAAGCCAACAACCCTAAAACCCTAAACTTAAAACCATGGGCCCCTAGTATGGGCCCTTAACCCTGGAATCCTTACATACCTACTATATACCCTATATGCACCCTTAAGGGTCCCTAGAATCCCCCCAAAAAGGCTTAAGGGCCCATATTAGCGGCCCATACTTCTCCCCTTAGATAAACCCTAAACCTTCAGGGTTTAGGGCTTCACTCTTCGGGTGTAAGGTGTGGAGTCTCGGATCGGGCCTCGGCAGGAAAGCCGTTGATGTAGGTAGTTCTTGGTAGGGAATGTAAGAATGGATCCACCCGGCTCCTCTCTAAGTCGTTTCCAGGGTATAGCCCTTCTAATTAGTCTCTGCCGCGCCAGTCCATACCCACAACCACCCAGGCAAAAAAGATCCATTGGGATTACACGGGGGATTTGACAGGAAAGATTGACTCGGCATTCGGGGTATTATCAGGGATTTAATTGCTCAGACCAATTTTCAAGTCAGGGTAACAAGTATCAGTGGGCAAAGTTTCTGCAAGGCTTCCCCGATCATTGGAACAGTCTGGGCTGCCCCCAAACCCAGGCACTTCAGGGGCCTCAGGGTGCCCAACAGATCTAAAACCTGCTCTAAAACTCAACAAGATGGATAACAGTTGATCAGTTACGCGCCCCGGAACAAACGATGTAGCCCTCAACTTTCGGGCCGCTTGAAACAAAGGCAGGAATCTTTGCAGCGGCCATGTTGGGATTCCTGTTGCTTGGGCTTATGGGTCCAAACCTAGGTGACCTCGTGAACTTGAATCACTCGTCAAGTTTCCGGTGCAGATGGAAGTGGAAGGCGCAGCTTTCAAAATAGAAATGAGCCTGTCTCAAGACTCATGCCCCTCCTATATGCCGCCTTAAATCATCTGGCCCCAATGATGAGGGCCCTGATGACTAGAGGATAATTCCCTCACAATCCAACTGAGAATGCTCAAGCGCCTCCCGAAAGAGTACGCCGACCGAACAGGCAGTATCATTTTTCCTGATGCAGAAAACCTGCATGACCCTAACCTAGCATAGCACTGCCATGATTCTCACGGTGGTATAGGGTATTCAGAGTCATGCAGGATTTTTGAATCAACCGTATCATCTTCCACCACTATCACCACCATGGCGTCCATTACTGTTTTGGAGTCGCGGAGCTTCCTGCAAAAAGATAGATAGCTTTTCTGCTCGTAATGATCGCTGATCGCCTGTCCAGGGAGGCTTTGACATTCTTCAACATGTCTGCGGGGTTATGTGAGGTTGTCTTGGGATTAGATGGAGGTCACTGTGGCACGATGGTCACTATGGCACACTATGGACTGTTCATGTCTCTGGGGTGTGGGTGCCAAACCCTGTGATGCAGAAGGAGCTGGGAACTCAGGTCCTATTCTTCTTAAACATAAGAGCGTGCAGACACCAAAACAGCAAGGTCTCTCACTTTCCCTCAATTCCTTGCACCGGCATGTGTAAAAAGTGATTATGCCAAATGTGTTTGGATGCATAACCATATGGTTTGACAAGGGTTGGTCACCAACAAGCCGCTAATCAAACCCAAGGAGGCCTTGCCAATTCCTGAATTGAGACCCTTTACTTCCTTGCAATAAAGGGGCCCTGCACCCAACATGTTGAGAGTTTCTTTCTAATGTTAAAACTGTGGGCCCCTAGTATGGGCCCTTAACCCTGGAGTCCTTATATACCTGTTATATGCCCTATATGTACCTTCTAAAGGCCCATACTTTAAACCTGAGTTTCTGGGAGCCTGCAGCTTCTCGAAAAGGCTATGGCCGCCAGCCTTCCACACATGTCGATAGAACCTTGATACTTGCAAGGTTCCAAAAGGGCCAGGGAGGTTTAGGGTTTCGGGTTTGGGAACGGTTCGCCAACATATAGCAAGATAAAAACGACAACATCTAAGTTCAAGGAGCCCAGAGCAATGACCTGTACGTTTGAGGCATCCCAGTCCGTTGGAAGCTACACCGGCCTTTTGGGAAGCACACATCACTCCTTCAAGTGTAAATAACTAGTAGCTGGTACATGCCTTGAGCATATCTGATACATCTTGGGGTCGTTTGTCTGCCGCAAACCCTAAACCCTCCACTTTACATAATAGTAATACATCTTGCTATCATTACACCAACAATAATGATCATATTCTGTAAGCTTCTTCAAAACAAGTAGCGTCTATCTTGGGCTTTGGAGCGCTGGGGCAAATATGCAAGCTATAGGAAGTTTGGAGCGGTTTGATCTCTTAGTGGGCGGTTTGCAAAGAGGGGCTTGCGCATTCCCGATGGCTCTCGCTCTTCTGAAGTCACTCATGGTGACTCACGCCCGGGCCCGGGAATATCTTTTTCAGATAAAAGGAACCGGGTGCACAAAAATCCAGATTTACCGTGTGCCCTAGAAATCTCTCTTGCGGGCCGTCTGCGCATTCAAGCTAAGCAACACAGGTGGAAATTCAAGCTAAAAGACGAGAGTGTGAGGCTGGGCTATGTCTCAGTTGGCCTTGGCTTCATTGGGCTTACTAGCTGATGGCTCGAGGAAATGAATGTATTACTTGCGTAGCTGTAACAGGAATTCTTCCATCCTATATGGAACGGATAGAGGGCTGCGGCATGCCCCTGTTTACCTGTAGATTAAAGCAGTTGCTGGCGATATTGTTAACCTATCCCTGAGAGCTACGTTCAGGGAGTTCTGGGAAGCATTTCCTGCCTTCTGGCACCCTGCTCTGCACCCAGGAACCTGATCACTTCCAAGGGTTTCTCGAAAGATGCGTGCTGAGAAGACCGCGATGATTACTACAAACCTGCCAAGAGCCTAAAGCTCCAATCCTAAGCCCCTCTAAAGTCCTGCACCTACACTTCAACCGGCCTAGGGGCATTGAAGTCCCGCTTGAGCAGACTGACTCTCCGATGACCTGTTCACCTGAACAGCTTCAGGGCTTAGCGTTGCGACTGCTGTGGTCGCTGCTAGCCTTTCAAGGTTTAGGGTTACGATCGTTATGGTTATTGCTTCTGCTACTGATACGGCTACAGCTAGGGCTACGAAGCTGGTCACTGTTACTGTTGCTGTGCTGTGGTACTAGTACTAGCACTAGTAGGAGTTTCCAGCAGCAGCATTTCCCACAGCTCCAGGGACTACCCTGGCTTGCCGGATCTTATCAGTCAATCCATGCGTAGGGACTGTGGTAGCATACTTTCCCCTTTACTGTGCTGCGATTGGTGAGATTGATCCTATGGATCCTTATAGTTTCAATGATGTATGTCATAAACGACGCAACAACCTTCCAGCGCACTACCATAATGAGCACTATTTGCCTTTCGCCGGCTAAAGTCCCCTCTAGCTGTTGAATTCATTCTCTAACAAACCACTAGCTTGAAGCGTATGCCTTAAGCTCTGATCCCCTATAGATTCATACTGGAGTTGAAGGTGTAGAAGAGAGCCGAGCCCGCCCAAGCCCTTGTATCACCCACAGAAGGCCTAAAGGTAAGAACGAAGTTTGTCCAAAGGGAGAAGACCACCACAACTAGCTGACTGTTTTTGGCTTGGCATTTGTGGGCCTTGGTTTGCAATCCTACACGTAACAAAATTGCAAACGCTGCCCGGGTCACTATCAAAACCGCCAGGAAGAACGGCGTCACCGGTCCAAGCCTAGGTGTGATCGAATGTGCGGATCTAAATGATTAGACTACGCATGTTCAGGGCCAGGCTGTAATTAGTAGGGAAGTGATCCGAGTTCTTTTGAAATATGCATGTCAGGACCTGCTGCCTGGCACCCCCAGAATAGAGGAAAGGACTCTGCGGACAATGGCTGGGAAATATATGCACATAATGTAGGGGCTACTGCAAGGATCAAGTCCTCCCTGCCCTACCCTAAACCCGGGGCTGCAGTGGGTATTTGGGACCTTGGGTGCATGCCGCAGGGCTCTCATAATAGTCTGCCCATTTGAGCATTGTGGCAGATTGTCAAGACTACGGCCGCTTTTGCGGTTGGCAGTACAATTCTAATGTTAAGGATGCCCCCATCGTATACACCTATAAAAATGCACCATCCTTCTTATGGAGACCCTCAAAACACGAAGCATTGGTTTGCCGGGGCGGCTAACAAACCATGAGCTCTTCGGGATTGTATTTCGTCATGCAACAGCTTCACCCTTGTTTGATGAAATATCTACATGAGAGTTTTTCTCAAAGTAGCCGTCATACCGGGCCCAACATGCTGAACAGCAACTCTGCGAAACCCTCATCCATGAGAATACTTACACGCACACCATCCTCACGCGCCAGCTGGTACAGCTTGGTACTGGTTGCTGCATCTCCCGCCCCGCCTTTCGCAGGACAGCCCTCAAGCGCTGCCCTAAACCCTTAAGACTTAATGTAGGCCCCTGATCAATAAACACCCTCCTTTTAAGGGCCTCAATATTAGGATCCCTATTACAATCCCTATGAAGGGGAAGGGGTTTGTCAATCAGGATTCTGGGTTAACCGTCCAAGCGTCAGTCAATGCCTGCACTTGCGGCCACACTTTGCGCCGAATGTCCGTCAGCGTTGGCAAGCAGGTCTCAGTGGATCCAAGGCATTCCTGTCCTGCTTCAAACCCTAAACCCTCAAAAATGTCAACCCTAAACCCAACTAGTATTGCCAGTATTATGTTATCACGATTATTGATGTTATTATTGGTTGTTATTAGTATTTACCCTTTTCCCTAAAACCCCAAAACCCTAGAATCCTAAACAGTGCGGTTTGGGGAACCAGGTTCAGGGACCGGGGCTTATGCAGTACTGCTGGTTTTGGGGCGCCGAACTTAAGTTGAGATGGCCATTTCTGAACTTAGAGGACGTGCATCCTTCTCAAAATATGGCCCCACAAACAAAAGGGTGGTTGTCAAAATTATGGTCCCTTTTTGGATCCCTATTATATTACGGCACCTAATAATACTTAGGGTACCCAAAAAGGGACCATAATTTTGACAACCACCCAAAAAGGAGTCTCAGTGATGGCAAACACCCCTTACACTTTTAACTTCGTAAGTTCAGAGCATGTCACATGAAAATTCGATTTTGTCGCGAAGGTGGCACAGCTACTGCGCAACAAGGTCCAGGTCAACATCGCCACATGCTAAACGCCAGAGGAAGATTCTGAGCTTCTCTTGCGATTGGGGTGTGACTAAGAGAGTTACTGTGAGAGGTGCAAAACAAGGACGCGAAACCGCAAAAGAAATCAACCCTGCCTACACGAATGGTGTCCCCAGGGCTTGAAGCATGCAGCCATTTTCTGCGACGCTTTTCAACACGCGCGTGTTTTCTGAATCTGGCCGAACATGGTGGTACCCAAGCAAACTATACTATACAGACGTGTCGCAACATGAGGAGAGCTGCAATGATCCAAATCGCGGATACAGGGATCCCCACTTCATCCTGAAAAATGCTAAGGTCCTCGACAGTGTAGAGTTACATTAGGATTCCAGAGCCCCATACCGTAAACCCTGAATTCAAGCCCCGAAGTCGATGCATATGATTGAAACCATGTCCTGCACGTACGAGCAGATGCGCAAGCTCCTGTGCCAGCGCTTGTGATGATGATGAACCTCTCCACTTCGACATGACTTTCGGGCTTAAGGCTTGGATTTTATGATTTAGGGTTCCAGAGCGAATCAAGAAACAAAGTAAACTCGCTTGGAAACCCAACAGAATCAGAAGGATGCCGTCTTTGTCACATTTTACTTTTCATCCTTCTTACCGTGAAGCTCTTAATGCAACCTGAAAGTGTCCATGTGTCCATGTCGTCTTCCCAAAGTGCCTATAATGTGGGAACCCTTTCAGGCCATAGTCTTTATCTCACATCCAGATCGCCCCTTACGGAACATGAGCCCATACTGTAGCATCTTGCTCAGGAACTGCGTGCGTTGCTCACATATGATGAGTGGTCTGCAATGGCATTCTTGGGGTCGTTCCCGGTTGGATTTTGAAACTGGAGGAGGACAAGGTCATCGAGGCAGCAATCGTCCACGCTCCGCACTTGTGGCCTGAAGTATGGATGGGTAGCATCAGAACTTCCAAGCTCGCTCCTGTGTAAGGGAAACCTTGGACTCTTGAGCATGTAAAAGCTTCCTCAACAAGGAGCAAGAAGCAAAGTCAGGACACAAGGGAGCCATCGCCACATGAAGATGAGGTTCAGTCTACGGATCCATCATATTCTCTGAGCCAAGCGCTGTCACCGTCCCACATTGGGAAGCCTATAAGTTATAGCCTGCCTCTGATGGTTTATTTGGACGTTTGGGGTTAATAGTCCCCCTTAAGTAGATAGAATATAGGGGGTTGTATTGGGATAATGGAAAACAAAACGGAACCTACTATTTAGGGTTTAGGGTTTAGGACTGTGTGGAATCCTTCAAGCATCACGGACTTAAAGATCCAGGAGCAAGGGGCTAAGCGGATTGAATTGCGAAATTCCCGTCTACCCCCTGGACATGTCCAGCCCCGAATTTACAATACAGGTGTTCCCCCTAAACCCATAAACCCTAGGCCCTAAACCCGCTCAGATTTGGGCTAGGAGATCGTGGTCAGGTCTTGCCTACGGTTTTTTGCAGTGCTTACAAGTCATGGTAAGCTGTGCACAGCACAAATATATACAGCAGAAAGCCGTCATTAAGGACTCTTGCAATGTTCACATATCATGTCATCACAGTTTGTTCTGACTCCTGCCTCCTACACACGAGCCGGGCACGCATCAGGGCATCAGACAAAGCACCCGTGCTCCCGTTTAGAGAAAAGGCTTACTAATGGCTGAAATCTTCCCAAAACACTCATTCCTGATCCTTGAACTTGCTGATTCTTAGTGGAGAATATAATCCCAACATTACCCCCAAATAATTCAAAAAATGTATTCGCATATTCCCTACAAAGAATCAATAAGTGAATCTCACGCCCCAGAAAATGGACCCAGAGCATCATGCTAAACCCTAAACTTTAAATGCTTTTTTGAACCCAGGCTCCTGATGTTAGCTGGCCCAACAGGACTCCACTATACATGCCCTGCAAACTTTAAACCCTAAACCCCAAACCCTAAACCCCAAACCCTAAACCCCAAAGCCTAAACCCTAAACCCTAAACCCCAAAGCCTAAACCCTAAACCCTAAACTTGGTGCACTTCTCCAAGCTTGAGAATCCTGCAACTCGCCTCTGGGTCATGCGCAGGGCCTCTTGGAAATCCAAGTTCAACGCCAAATCGGCCGCACTGCGGCCTTAGCATTTGAGCTGTGGTCTAAACTCCTAGTATCCCCCATAATAACCAGTATAGTAGCCCGCGATAGAATCCCCTCAAGAACCCCCTTTCTCAAGGAGTTTAGATTATAGCTCATGTTGTGAATGTTTCGTTTAGACCAATCCCTCACGGGTTTGAGGGCTCATCTGGGGCATTCCAGCTCTTAGAAAACAACCCTAAACCCTGAGCTTTAGCCCTAAACCCTAAACCCTAAACACTAAGCCCTGAACCCTAAACCCTAAACCCTAAGCCCTAAACCCTAAGCCCTAAACCCCAAGCAGAAATCAGAATTTGGCACATACCTTGGGGCGCGGCCGGCGTTGTTCTTCAGGTCCTGGCTAAGTCTGTCCCTGAATGCTGTCTCTCTTTTTTTGCTGCCTCTTCACAGGATTAAGGTTTAGGGCTTGGAACCTAGGGTTTAGAGTGCAGGTTTCAATCTATATGGTTTTGGAGCATCAGTCCTTTGAACCCTAAACCCTCCCGACCCTTCTGATGCCAATAAACAGGCTGCATCAAGCCTTGTCAGCGCCCGCATTGAGCAAGGCATCCTTAGTTGACGCTAGGACCACTCCGAGATTGGAAACTTCAGCAGCCCCAGAATATGCAGATTTAGGGTTTAGGTGGGGTCATTCCCCCTTACAGTAACTGTTACCACAATGGGCTATAGGAGTTATAAGAACCCCCCCCTCCCTTGAAGGACAGTTACTGGGAGGGGGAATGACCCAAGGTTTAGGGTTTAGTTTGAAGCCAACACAGAAACAAGTTATTCGTTGGAAGCCCCTCAGTATAGATTGGTAGGAAGCTCAGCAACTCGCAGGAGACTCCACGAAAACGTTGAAGGCCCAAGTCAAGTGCCAGGCTATAAACTCTACAGCAAACAACTCGAATCCCCTCCTGTGATGTTTAACTCCCCCACCCCCCACTAATTGAATACTCTCAGTACAGTATAACATAGCACAATGGGGAATATTTAATATTAGGGGGAGGGTGGGGGAGGTTTAATATTAGTGGGAGGGGATTGAGCCATAAACGAATACCATACAGCACTAAACTCTAAACCCTAAACCCTGAACCCTAAACCCTGAACCCTAAACCCTAAACTCCAAACCCTAAACCCCAAACCCTAAACTCTAAACCATTGTCCTCATAGATCGAGCCAAGCATCATAAATGGCAAGGCCCTGGAGGGTGGTGCGGTCGAGGCTCATCTCTCCTTGAAGGCACTTCGCCCACAAAGTTTAGGGATTATAGGGTATATATTGGGGTTATATTGGGATAGTGGAAAAGAAACTGGAAACTATTATTTAAGGTTTAGGGTTTACCTAAATCCCGAAGGTATGTAGAATAATAGCCCTAAATCCACAATAACAACTATAGAGGCCATTATCTTACATACTTTAGGGTCCAGGTAGAGCTTAAATTACTGGAGGCTGGCAGGGAATACGGGAATAGGATTATATTCCCTCATTCCCCACTAACCACCAGGAACGTCGGTCGAGAAAGTGCGAGTCGAAATTATGCTTGCGTTAAGGATATATCCCCTTAGCCTTAAACTCCCATGCTGCGCTGGACACTTGTGTGGGGTCCACCACATGTCCGCGACAAGCCTACATTGGGTGATGTCTAGCTGGTGGTTAAAACAACGGGTGAGGGAATGTACATGACATATGAGTTCCAACGCGCATCCCCATATTCCATTCCTTAGTTGCCTAAAAAAGCCACCAACAGATTACCGGGGGGAGGGTGAGCATGACATCTGTGCACCGTTGAGAAAGGCGACTTAGCGGACGATGATGGTAAGGAGGCTAGTCAGGAACTTCAAAAGACAAGTCTTGTATGTCATTAGGGTTTATAGGACTTACGACGAGGTTTTTTAAACATCCGGGCACGTAGACAACCGAACAGGTATGATATGCTACCTCCGCAAAGCATGGCGTCTGGCCGCCCACGATTAAAACATCCGGAAGTAAGTAGCTGGATCCCTCCAGCCCCCCGCCAGCCCCCCAGCCACACCCGACGACCCCTGCTCCACCCCACACATTTCTCTAGCCACCTCCTAGCTCTCCAGCCATGCCACGCCCCTCCAGTCACGACCCCTCCACCAGCCACACCCTCCTCCAACCACACCACCTCCACGGCTCAGCCATAACGTCCCCCCAGCCACACCTCGCCCCTTCCACGCCTCGCCCCTTCCAGCCACGACCCCTCCTGCTTCACTCCTTCCTGGCCACCCAACCCTCACGACCCCTGCAGCCACACCTCCTCCACACACCGCCCAACCTTCAACCTTCAGGCACGGCATGCCCCAGCCTGGTCCAGCCACACCCTTCTCCAGCCATATCGCCCTCCAGCCACCCCCCTTTAGCCACACCCTCCCTCCTCCAGCCACTTTGAAAGCTAGGATTGTCGCAAAACACAACCAATCAAACGCCATACAAACACCAGGGTTTGAGTTTGAGACTCCGCACTTCCATGTTTAGCTCTCGTGCTCTCAAGGCTTACGTGCTCAGATTTCATCTCTCAAAGCTTCAGGATTTAAATTCAGGGGTTTCAGGGGGGAAATAGGTTCAGTGCTAAGGGTCCATGAGACGGCCAGCATGTGATTTTATGCATTCTTGCGTGGACACCGTCAACTAGCCTTGCAAAAGCCTGGAACAAGAACTGTAGGGACTATGTGAGGATTTCCCAAAATTAGGGGTACTATTTTGATGGTCCAGTATATTGGGGTCTACATTGGGGTCCCGCGATTTAAGGAAACTACAATGTGGTAAACCCTGAGAATAACGCCTACAAATCACAAAGCACACCTGCACAGCAACCAGACTCTCATGCACATAAAAAAACTCGGGGCCACGGCCAGAAGATTCCTTAGAGCCACACAGGTCCTGTCCGCAAATCGGGGCTTTCAAAACTAGGGGATTGGGGTTTAGGGTTCAGAGGATCCCCTGTGGGGCGATCCGTAGGTACATTTCAACATCTCAGCGCGATAGAGTGACAAAGACACGGCCTTCTCCGCTGTGAAACACCATGTAAGCTACAGCCAGTTTTGCTCAGAAAATTAATGAACATGGGTTCCTTATTAAGGACTATACTAGTGACTATGCTGCTAGAGGGACCCCTATGTCCAAGTGTGAAGGGTCCCTAAATATGGCTAATGGTGACAATAGCTCTAGCTCATATGTCAACTATTACATACTGATTTCTGATAATCTCGAAGCCATCCCTCCTTGCTTGCTGAATACACTGTCCGAGCACCACAAAATTACCACAATAAGTATTGCTAAGACGTACTTTCCATGCACATTGGAGACCCCTTCTTCAAACA